TGGGAAAGTGAATGAGGGTGAGATGCCATGTCAGGACCAATAACATTGCAGGTTCTTTTTTTTAATTCAGTTAACGCTTTAAAACCTTTAAGGATACCTATATATGTCCTACTTTACGGCAGCGAATGTTGAACGGTGCCCTCAAAGATGAAGAAGAGACTTGAGGCGGCGGAAGTATCATTCTACAGAAGGATTCTAAGGATATCATGGATCATGCGTGTGAGCAACGATGGGATTTTGGAGAGGATGCAAACAAGGGAGAAGTGCATGAAGTGCGAGGGAAGGAACTGTCAGCATAGAACTTACAGTTAAATCTAGCCATTTCAACTGTAAGATGATGGAACCTTGATGCGAATCTAATATTGCGCTTAAATTAATAGAGTCTAGGCACTTTAGAGGAAAGTTCATCAGAACAATTTATATTCGGTCGAGTTTATCACGCCAAGCATCACGGTCCTGTATAAAGGTCGGAAGGTCATTAGTGTGGCAATCTGTGTCATAACATATTTGGTCAATGTAGATGGTTGCTTGGTGACGAGCTCGTCATGCGCCATGTCTAGGTGTCCTGTGAAGTAGACCACACGCAGTTTCTTGTTTTACTCACCAGCAGTGTCCTGCAAAGCGCATTCCGCGTTCGCATAAGATTGTAGAAATCAGTGATGGCTCCATAGAGCTGAGATTTAATTGCATATTTTCTCGAAAAGATATTAAGTAAAGCTCTCAGCATCCGAGTGTAGATTCCACCAAGCTGAGACTCAATGGTTTTAGTTAGTATCCAAGTAGTGGCATCATACATTAAAACCGCCTCTACAGTGGCTTGAAAGAATCTCCGTTTGAGCTTCTCATGTAGACCAGATTGCTGTGATCTGGAGATCAGAACAATTGAACATATTTATAGAAAAGGTACTGGGAATCGACATTACGGCGACGGAAAAGTCACTGAAGCCAAGATGCCAGGTCAGTACCAATAGCATTGCAGATTCTTCTTTGGATTTTATCAAGAATCTTTAAATATATTGCAGGGATACTAGAACAACTGTGGAAGTAATATTCAAAGCGACGGAGACTTATAAATATGGAAGATTGATTCTGGCGAGAAAAATTGTCTTGGTCGATATAGTGAATGGACTTCCCTAGCAGCAGACCTAGCAAGTAATTTAATATAATCTTTCCACTTCATATTAGCGTAAAACGTTCGTACGAGAAGGCGCAACACGTCGCTCTCCTGAAGTTTAGCATCAGCCATGCTGATGAAAGCCAGGAATGGTTCTCTCAGACGATTGCATCTCCAATGTCATGTGTGGAAAATATTTCGGCGCCGATTGAGAAACAGTCTTTTGCTCGAATAACCATCCTGAAAACATTTACATTATATTACATCTGCACAAACTATTAAAGACAGAAAGTAATAAATTACCTTAAACTGAAAGGGGGGGGGACAATCAAAATGATTTGCATAGTTTGCTTATTTGTTGTTGTTATTGTTGTTGTTGTTTTCTCATAATCACTTTTGAATCGTCAATTTGATTTGCCACTTTTTCAGCCAATCAAAACATGTTTTCTATGGAAACATTTTGTTTATACAATATGTAACTATATATGCCTATACAAACTGCACAGTCATATATTTAGTCTCCAACACATACTGTCAAAAACAGTTTCGATATATAAAGCATATAAAAGAAAAGTTCTGTTCGAATACTTCAGAAAAATGAAAGTATTTCAAACCTTAAGTGTTTTGGCAGAAGCAAAAAGTTTTTTAATTGCCTTTGTCACTGTGTTAATGCAACATTGACTATCATACGTGCTGACATAAAAACATGGTATGCACAAAATTATACGCGATTAATGGCTAATAATCCCTAACTTTTATTAGGTTGGTGCAAAAATAATGACGTCGTTTTTTGACGTATTTTTAACGTTGAAAGACGACATTATTACGTCATTATTTTTGCACCAACCTAATATTTATAAAACCACGTGATAACTTCCCCATATAATTTAATGGCCGATGTCTAGTTTTAAACGTATTTGAATATGGAAAAGTTAAGAAGTCAACATGGACAGAGATGTAAAATAAAATATAATGAATGATGCAGGACTGAAATCTTTCAATCACAAACAGTCGGAAGATATTTCTACTCAATCGATATAAATATAAGTTATTTAACACAGAAACAAGAAATTTAACTAAAATAAGCAATCCTTGTATTTTTCCTTGTAGGTTTCATCAACGACCTTCCTGATGTCATCAGTCTTCATCTCGGGATCTATGTTGATGACACAACTATTTATCCCTTTACGTCTAATCGGTTCGATAAGGTCAGACTAGAAGATTAAAAAAAATGGTCTTCATCACGATCAGCTCTTGCTGTCTTGAGTAGAAGGAATCCCAACGTTTATATACACCCGAGAATGAAGTGTACACTATCAGCCAAAATTTTGGGGACACCCTCTGGATTTTGAAGAATCACCAAAAAATTAAAGGTTGCATGCCTTTTCCAAAATTTATTGATAAGCTCACTTCAGGCCAGAGGCACATGGTGTTCCTGAAGCATTTTACCATGTATTTTATAATAATAAATGGTTACTTATACGCTGATATAAGAAAAATCGAATCTGTTCAGTGTCCTAAGACAACCAAATAGAACAGAAGACTATCATTTTACTTCCTGATGTCATCAGAACTCAACTCGGGACATATGCTGATGACAATTATTTACTCCTTAATAGTACGCTTAATCGGTTCGATAAAGTCAGACTGGAAAATGGTCAAAAATGGTCTTCATCCCGCTCAGCTCTTGCTGTCTTGAACATAAGGAATCCCAACGTGACTGAAGTATACACTATCAGCCAAAAGTTTGGGAACAGCCTCTGGATTTTGAATAATAACCAAAAAATTGAAGATTACATGCCTTTTCCAAAATTTATTTATATGTTCACTTCGGGCAAGAGGCACATTGTCTTCCTGAAGCATTTTATAATAATAATAACAAAATTAACCCATTGCTGAATATAGTTTCCTTAAGAAAAATCATATAATGGCTTTGTTAATAAGCAACAGTTTATTGTAGTCCCAATCGTATAATAAAGTGACTACTTGATAACAGAGGTGAATATGTTTTATAAACTCTAGTGTTAAATGAAAGAAAGAGCAGATAGTAAATTAACACATAATAACTTTGCCTACAAGGAAATCAAATTGAATTCTTAAATATGAATGTTGTTTTGTTGGGCTTGAAAAAAAGAAAGAAAGAAAGAAACAAAACAAGATTCTCACTACTTAGCAAACAAAACAAAATCATATATTTTTGTTGATCTTACTATGAGCAGGAATAGCCACAATCAATCGTTAAATTTACTATCAAAAATTTGTTGCCTGATATAAGAAAATAAACTATTGGCATACTGAGCAACTAACGCTCATTTTGGCAATGGACAAAATCCTATAATTTATTATTACCAATACCATCATGGAATTCCTTTTCTGAATAATTAAACCAGATTAGTTTATCTCTCTCTCTCTCTCTCTATATATATATATATATATATATATATATATATACAGGAATCTCTCAATTAGTGTGGGTAATGTGTACATCGGTAACTATAAAAAAATCAATTTTCAATTACTTTGTTTGAACTGAAGATTGTTTTGACGTACTCATCGAGTATTACGTATGCTCTAATGGAATTCTAACATATAAAAAATTTTAGCGCATTATTCGAAAACGCATTAATCCAGGGATGACTGTATATATATATATATATATATATATATATATATATATATATATATATATATCCGTGTATGTTCAAAATGTTTTGGAAAGGACCAGATTTGAGAAATTCTAAGAAAATACATGCCATGACTCCACTGAGTGGTGATCCCATCGGTAATCCAAATTTTTCCTTTAACACAAAGATAAAACTGTCGCTAACAATGGCTAAAATAATAAAAATCTGCCGCCTTATCATCAATCAATGCAACTTTACATTCAATAATCATTTCTACAAAAAAACATTATATTACCAATGGAGTCGCCTGCAAGTTAAGTGATGGTATGTATCTTCTTAGAATTTCTTGAATACGGTATTTTCCAAAACATTTAATCCCAAACACTCAACATACTTTAGTTATATTGATGATACTACACTTATACATCCACATACATACATACATATATATATATATATATATATATATATATATATATATATATATATATATATATATATATATATTGAATTTTGAATTTTGATTATTTATTGTAATAATTAAGTTGTCGGTCATTTTAACTACACACACATACACACGGGGACACACACACATTTTGTGATCCTGGTTTCGCGGTCTTTACGACCGTCATACAAACTGATTAATTTAAAAATTTTGGATTCATTTATGGTTGCGTATACGCGTGAAACACAGGGTCACAAACTCACATCAATCCAACTAAATATGTTAGATATATCACTGATATTGAGCGCTGCATATAATATCGACATCACTTATTTAAGAGCTGAACTCGATTGGCAGTTAGGTCAATAAACCCTTGCATTCCAATGGCTTCTGTTGCTTTGATTGATGGTTTATGATGAAAATTATACCTACCGTTCAACAATTTATGTACTGTTTACAATAGCATTATACCCATCTACAATGTCACAAGCAAAATCCTTAAAAATGGTTAATAGACTAAACGAAATCCGCAGAAAAATGAACAATCACTTGGACAATTTCTAAACTATGTCCCAAAAAGGAAGTTCTTGTTCGTATATAAGAAAAATACAAGAAGCATTTAACAGAAGTAGTCTCTAGGTCATTTTTAAATAAATATAATTGCTGCGCAAATACCTGACTATATATATATATATATATATATATATATATATATATATATATATATATATATATATATATATATATATGCGCATGTACATGTGTGTGTTTGTCTATTTCTCTCTCCATCTCTTTCTGAATGTGTGTCTCACTTTTTATGTGCGTGTGCGTCCCTCTCTTTCGCTCGCCCTCTCTCTCTCTCTCTCTCTCTCTCTCTTTCTCTCTATCTCTGTATGTGTGCATGTATATGTCCCCCCACTCTCTGTCCGTGTTCGTCTCTCTCTCTCTCTCTCTCTCTCTCTGTACGTGTGCGAGTGTGTCTCTCTCTCTGTGTATGCGTCTCTTTCTCTCTCGCTCTCCCTCTCAGTACGTGTGTGTCTCTTTCTCTCCCTCCCTCTCTCTCTCTTTCTCTCTCTCTCTCTATGCATGCGCGTCTCTCGTTTTCTGTGCATGTACGTGTGTATCTTTGTGTGTTTGTCTCTCTCTCTTTCTCTCTCTCTTTCTCTGCGTGTACGTCTCTCTCTCCCCCTCTCTCGCACTCTCTTTCTTTGTTCGTGTCTGTATATCTTTCTCTGTTCGTGTGCAACTCTCTTTCTCTCTCTCTCTCACTTTCTATCGATCTATCTCTCTCTCTCTGTACGTGTGTATGTATCTCTCTCTTTGTGCATGTGCGTCTCCCTCGTTTTCTGTGCATGTATGTCTATCTGAGAGTGGATGTATTTCTCTCTCTCTCTCTCTCTCTCTCTCTCTCTCTCTCTCTCTCTCTCTCTGTATGCGTCTCTCTTACTCGTTCTCTATGTATGTGTGTATGAGAATTTGTGAGTGTCTCTGTCTGTATCTCTCTCTCTCTCTCTCTTTATGCATGTGCATCTATCTCTACCTGTATCTCTCTGTATGTGTGTGTCTCGCTCTAGCTGTATGTGCCTCTCTCTTTCTATGTATGTGTTTGTATATGTTTGTGTCTGTTTGTCTGTCTCTATCTCTCTTTCGGTGTGTGTGTGTGTGTGTGTGTGTGTGTGTGTGTGTGTGTGTGTGCGTGTTTGTAAAGACGGAAAGTGATTGGAGAGAAAAAAGAACAGTTACTTAGAATAAAAGAATAAATTAACATATGTTCGCATGGTATTAACTGTAAACGCAGATGTTTGACCTTGGAGGAAAGAAACCTCAGCAAATTAAACGGCCAGGCATTTTCAGCAACAAATCGAAGAATGTTTCTCAATTATAAAGACAAAAAAAAACATCGAATATGTAGATACCGAATGTTCGCTTTGTATTAAACTGAGACAGAAACGAAACGAAAATTTTGTCCAACATTTGCTTAAATGGAGTAAATTTTCCAGTGAAATATTCGATAAAGGATTTCTTATTTATGTATCTCTATATATAAAAAAAATGTGTGTGTGTGTGTGTGTGTGTAACGAATGCACGGCCGCAATTTTCGACGAATTTTGCACCAAAATTTACATGCACATGCTCCAGGTTAGCGGGAAGGCCAAGACCGACTTTACATTTCCCAACTCCCATCGATAGTAGAAATAATCGATATTTTTCATGCTTCTATGGCAGTTTTCATGTAGTTTGCGGCCGTTTTGTACCAAACAGAATGAGAGCCAATAGCTGGCTGCCACGAATAAGCAGGAAGATTCTATTGGCCAGCGTGAGAGTCAACAGCTGACTGACACAAATATTAACTAGCATGCTACCATGCAAAAAAAATCGATAGCTGCATTCGTCACAAGCGGGAAAAATTTAAATCTGCATGGCACTTTACTCCAATTGGCTCATTCGCTTGCTTAAATTCAACGTTGATTCTGATTCCGCAGAACTGGGTTGGGTGTGAAAAAGTATTTGTTGTTAACATTCTTTTTTCATTCGGTTTTTCCAGTTACGAGTCCTTTTTTAAAGCTGATCGTTTTGTGTTCATTTTGTTTAGTTCTTTTTTCGTAACAGATTTAATGTTTAGTATAGAGCTTAGAAAAAATTCGCAGTGTGAGATAGGCAAGAAGTACGGCATGTAGCAACATCAGCACGGCAAAGGACGTTCCTTTAAAGGCAAGGAAGGGCAAAAATATTTTAAGTCAAGTGATAGCGATTGCTGTATGAGTCGTATGATTTTTTAATCAAGCACTGGCAACGCCGGGCCATACTGCTAGTCTCGGTATAAGCTCTCGGTATGGACACCAGAGACTGAAGTAAAAAAAAAAAAAAAAATGCCAGTTAAAGATCTATATGCAGATAATACTTTCCGGTACGTTTAGTCAAAAAATATTTTCAATATCTTCTCAAAATGTCAAAATAAAACTCGAAAAAAATGTCCAGCTCCTTTGCAGCGATAATATTTTTCTTCTGCCATGACATTTTCGAAACACTGTTAAATGTAAGTAATGCAAGAGATGTTTTATTTATTAATACAACAGATTTTTATCACTTTAAAAGTTATGTCCTTTTAAGTGAAATTTATCTCGTCATAGATTCCTCGACATTATCATATTTGCTCTTAAAATGTACAGAACTTACTTGATCAGCTAATCTTCTTCGTGGCCGAGTCGGTTAAGGTAGGTTGGATCTAATCAAGATTTCCCTATTCCCAGATGGAAGCAGGTTCGAATCCTCAGGCCGGTTGACGAAAATAGATGAATATATATAATTTAAAAATAAACGGACCGCCTCTTGAAGCATGTGTATCCACTGAAAATTATATATATATATATATATATATATGTAAAAATAAAAATATAAATAAAAAGTAATTCATCGAGTCTAGAAGAAACTTCAACAGAAAGCACTGGACGGCAGTTTCGTCCAATATTTGGGACTCATCAGCAGTGTGCATCCACTACCGAGAATTGAAACCCGGACAGTTATGATAGGAGGCAAACGCGGTACCAACGGGCCTCGGTAACGAGTTAGCGCCTCTTGATGACATATTCCGTGGTGGAACTCATCTGAGTTTCTCTTTAACCATAGGACTGTGCCTCTGCAAGTTACAACTACACTTCCCAAGACGCTCAGTCCAGAGCATTAGAAGCCCGTTCAAGCAAGGATATATAGATAGAAATCCTCCTAATTATATATATATATATAGTTATGGTCTTTGGGGTTTATTTGTTTTCTAGTTCCTCACTAATTCTGGGAGTAATGGTAGTTAGGATATCAGCAATGGTAATCTGATCGTAAAATTGTACTGCTTGTTGCTTAAAAGGCTACTGTTATCGAGGTAGTCCACTTTGTTTGTTTTCAACCTTGCCCTGGACCACTTGTGCATGGCTACTCTTGGCATTTTCCAGAAGTTTCTAGCAGCAATTGTATTCGCTTGTGAATGAATTAAGAGTCAAACTACGCCGTTCTGTGTGATAGATATATACAAAAGTGGACACTGATGTCAACAGCAAGCAATGACTGTCAGTTTCATGCCTGAATGTAATCCTCCCCCTGACGATTGAGTTCAAGCAGAAAACAAACTGTTGGCAGGTGGCGTGAACATGTGTGTGTCCACTTTTATATTTACATATGCTCTATCCCTGATACTTAGCACTTTTACTCATAAATATACCATACATTGAAACTACACACACACACACACACATATATATATATTGTGTATTTAGGCAGCAATCCTTCATTTATACATGTATTATTAAAGACGACAGACAAGTTTTTTATTTAATTTTTCTTGTGTTCGAACAAGTGTTTTCTTTTTTGGACACAGAAATATTATAAAGAAATGCACTACCTCAGCTGACTCGGACAAAAACATCAAATTAATTGTCTACTACAAAAAATTTAAAACAGTTAACCTTATTCTCAAAAATAAGAACACACCAACAAAATCAAAATGACAACGAACAAACATTATCCATAAGTTCAAATGTCCCTTAAGGAGCTGTGTTTCTGATCAAACCGAATTCATAAATAATTACATCGGTCACACTACTACATGCCTATGCAGATGCCTTACGTTACACCTATCCGACCATAGCTCTATTAGAACCCATTTAAATACACATACAAACTTACCAGACTCCATCCGAAACATATTAGTAGAAATTGCAAATTTAATAACATCGTTCACATGTAAAAAAGATTAAAAATAATGGAAGCCTTAGCCATAAAAAGAAAAAGCCAACACTGAATAATATTAACTACGAACACAGCCAAAATATACTAAATGTGTTCGAACAATTAAACATCCTATAACTCTAGATATATACACACAATTAAAAAGCAAAAATAAATCACTTTTCACCCTTGAAAATGGCTAAAATTATAGCCGAAAGCGCTCGGAATTACAGAACATTTGCACAGTTTCTACACATTTTGTGTCCAGAAAAAAAGCACTTGTTCAAACACAAGGAAAATTAAATAAAAAACTTAATCGCAGTACCTTGTCTGTCGTCTTTAGTGAAACAAATATAAATATATATATATATATATATATATATATATATATATATATATATATATATGATTCATATATACAATTTTCATCTTCAATAATAGTCGACTCTATATATATAGTTGTAGAGTGGAAAATAACTCATCATTTATAAGGACGCGGAGACGCTTTTAAACTCTATAAAAAGGTAGAGAGTCAAATCTGGACATCTTCTGTACATATATATATATATATATATATATATATATATATATATATATATATATATATATCATTTTTATTTTAAGCTCTTTTTAAATGAAGAAGATAGCAGGCGGACTCAGGTACTTACTGCATCGGTATGAGGAACTGACCATTTTTTTTTAGCATCTTTAGCAATGAAGCGTTTCCGGTCTGGGCTGAGTTTATATCACAATAGGCACTCAAACCATGAATCCTCCCCGAGGGGAACATTAGTTCTTAGTGATTGATATTATTATAATTATTATCCATTTCAACTATTCTCTTTTGGCGGGAAAAATGACCAGAGCACTTTTTAAAAATTATCTATACATGATCATTTTCTTTATAAGAAAATCATGCATATTTGGACCATCGTGCTCGCAAAAAATGGAATTTCAAAAGTACGCTTTTTTCCGTTGATACCGCTATTATTTTAACTACCTTCACTTCTCGGCAATGTTTATTGTTCTAAAAAGCGATGGTTAGAATTGAAATAAAACCTAAACATATGATGAAATGTGAATTCATACATTTTTTCCATATACCATCACCGAGTCCTATGCCTTGGAGAGGTCAGTAAAGGTTCACCAGCCAGGGACTGAATTTTGACCAAACAGGACGCTGCCTTTATCACGCGAGATAAACGGGAGCCTACTATTGTTTGATTCATTTATTGCCAACAAATCGATATTTTCGACAAAAGTCATGTTTTCCGACTCACTGGGACAATTACTAAACTTCCAAAGATAAAAGTCAAATAACTCTTTAGTCATGCTTGGTGGGTACTCTGAGCAACATTCACAGAATATCGCGGGTTTTGTAGTACCATTTCACGCATGGATAGGTGTCCCAGTAAGCATTTCTGTAAGCTCATTATGTTGTAGTCTTAGTCAGAGTCCGGATAGTTTGTATTGTCTTAGACGATGGACAATAACAATTATTTTACCATTTCACCAACATTCGTGGTATTCGTACCAATTTCAGTAGTCGGGAATCATTTTTCTTGAAACATTCTCCAGATATCTTAGCACTCTGTGAAATGAATTTAAACTTTTCTATCTATAAAACTAAATTCTCTCTTCAGGGATATCTTCCTCTTTGTCAAAAGGATTCTAAGATACATACGCATGATCTTGAAGTTTATATTTGGTACCATCTCCTAATGGAATCGTCTCTTGAGTCGCCCGATGATTCATTTGTATACTTTAGACTAGAAGTCGGCAACCTACGGTACGCGTGCCACACGTGGCACGACAAGCAATTTCCAATGGCACGAAGACCGAACCAATAACTACTAGAACGCAAAGAAGATATATAGCTGTTTCAATATTAATATTGTTGTATTGTCGAGGTGAATGAATCACAGAGAAGAAT